ACATCACTTGTATAATGGGAGAAAGGTAAAACAAAATTCTCTTATCAGGCACTGAAGTCGTCGGGATACCAAGGTGTGAACCTGCCTCTTAGATCTTAAGTCATACAACAGCAGGTCCACACAGACTCCCCTTCACAAGCTGAGTGCCATTTTAATCATTTACAGTGATAACTGATTTTGTGAGATGGACAGAACAGCCATGCTGCTCCCTGTAGGTAAATCTGCATGGGAAGTAGGCTGGTTGGTGAGCAAGGAATAGGAGCAGGGTGAGTGACTTGAGTGAGTTTTTGGTTTTAATGCCTAATGATGCTGACCATCTTTTCATATGCTTATTAGCTATTTGTATATCTTCTTTGGAGAAATGCCTATTCAAATCTTTTGCACATTTTTTAATTGGTTTGTCTGTCTTTTTATTGAGTTGTAACAGTTCTTTATCCTAGGTACATGTCTCATCAGATACATAATTTGCAGTGTTTTCTCCCATTCTGTGGGTTATTTTCTTACTTTTTTCATGGTGTTTGAAGCCCAAAAGGTTTTAATTTTGATGAAGTCCAATTTATTTTTTCTTTGCTTGCTTGTGCTTTTGGTGTCATATCTAAGAACCCACTGTTTAACCCAAGGTCACAAAAATTTATTCTTAAGTTTCCTCTTAAGCGTTTTATAGTTTTAGCTCTTACATTTAGGTCTATGATCGATTTTGAGTTAATTTTTATGTACAGCGTGAGGTCCCAGTTAATTCTTTTGCATGTGGATATTCAGTTGTCCCAGCATCATTTATTAAGACTATTATCCTTCCATTTAATTGTCTTGCCACCCTTGCTGAAAATCAATTATCCATAAATGCATGAGTTTATTTCTGGACTCCAGTTCTATTCCAATGATCTATATGTCTATCCTTATACCAGCACCAGCACCACACTGTTTTGATTATTGTAGCTTTACAGTAAGTTTTGAAATCAAGAAGTGGGAGTCCCCCAACTTTGTTATTTTTCAAGACTGTGCTATTCTAGGTCCCTTGCATTTCCAAACGAATTTTAGGATCAGCTTGTCAATGTCTACAAAAGAAAACCCAGTTGGGATTTTGATAGGGGTTGCACTGAATCTGTAGACCAATTTGAGGTGTATTGCCAACATTAAGTCATACAATTCATGAATACAGGATGTCTTTCCATTTATTTAGATATTCTTTAATTTCTTTCAATGATGTTTTGCTGTCTTCAGTGTATAAATCTTGTACTTTTGTTAAATTTATTCCTAAGTAATTGTGTGTGGAGGGGGGGCTTTTATAAATGGGATCGCTTCCTTAATTTCATTTTCATGTTGCTTATTACTAGTATATAGAAATAGAACTGATTTCTGTTTATTGCTCTTGTATTCTATCACATTGCTGAACTCATTTATTGGTTCTACTAGTTTTTTACAGTATTCTTTAGGATTTTCTGTATACAAAATGTCATGCCATCTACAAGTAGAGATGGTTTTACCTCTTACTTTCCAATCTGGATGCTTTTGTTTCTTCTTCTTGACTGACTGCCCTGGCTAGAACCTAAAGTACAATTTGAATAGAAGCAAGAACAAATACTCTTGACTTTTTCCTAATCTTAGAGGGAAAGTATTCCGTTTTTCTCTGTTAAGTATGACGGGGCTGTGGGTTTTTTTGTAGATAGTTTTTATTGGGTTGAGAAGTTCTCTTCTGTTGTATTATTTTTAATCATGAAAGGGTGTTGGATTTTGTCAAACGCTTTTTTTTTGGTCTACTGAGATATCATGTGGTTTTTGTTCTTTATTCTATTAATATGGTGTATTACACTGATTGATTTTCAGATGTTATACCATAATTCCTGGTATAAATTTCACCTGGCCATGGTGTATAATCCTTTTTATATGTTGCTGGATTCAGTTTTCTAGTATTTTGTTGAGGATTTTTATATGTATATTCCTAAGGAATACTGGTCTGTAGTTTTCTTGTTATGTCTTTGGTTTTGGTATCAGGGTAATACTGCCCTCACAGGATGAGCTGGGAAGTGTTCCCTCCTCTTCTGTATTTTGGGACAGTTTGTGAAGGACTGGTATTAATAAAAAACTGATTATTAAGGAAATTTCCCATTATACAAAAAAATACTAAGAAGAAAAGTATAATGAACTCCCATGTACCTGTCCACTCAGCTTCAACAATTATCAATATTCCACCATTTTTATTTCACTATTCCCACCACCCCTCCCACTTTCTTACCCTTTTGTGGGGATGAAATTATCTAAAAGAAAATCCTAGACATATCATTTCACCCTTAAATACACCTCAACATGTATATGTCTAGTAGATAAAGGCTTCTTTTTTAAAAAACATAATCAGAATTATTTCACCTAACAAAATTATCAGTAATTCCAAATGTTATATAATACCTAGTCTATGTCCAAATTCCCCAAAATGTCTCAAAAATTATTTTTAAAATTAGTTTGTGTGAATTAAGATCCAACATTGTATTTAGCAAATATGACTCTTAAGTCTCTTTAAATCTGTAAAACACTCTCCCATTTTTATCTTACGCCACTTATTTGATTAAAAAAACAAGGTCAATTTGTCCTGTAAAATTTTTCCATGCTCTAGGATTGGCAACTGTTATCTTCTTGGGTCTGTTTGACTTATTCTGTATCCCCCACACTTTCTTTAAACTGGGAGTTAGGTCTAGATGCAGGTTGCTGTGAGTGTACTATTGCATCACATTAGGAGACACTTCTAGTGTTAAGACTGACTGATCAGTGGGTTCAGGTGTTATCAGCCTGATCCACCATCCACTATAAAGCTCCCATCAACGTTTCACCTAATGGTTTTAGCAACCATTGAACTTTGTGCCTAGGTACATTATTTTAGCAGGAGTTGCAACATGGTTATTTTCAAATTCTTGCAGTTCTTCCAAGGCTAGGATTTTTACCTTCACAATTGTCAGCTCCACGTCTATGATTCCCAGTTAGGGTGGCAGTGCCTCCAGGTGCCAATCTGGAAGCCCTGGGGACATTTTTGCTTGTCACAGTGGTGGTGGGAGGGACTCCTGGCATTAAGCGGGCAGAAACCAGAGATGCTGGACACTGCAATTCACAGGAGTCTCACATAATGAAGAAGGAACCTGTATACCACAAAACTTTCATATGTCCTGTTAGATACTCATGAAAGGGTTGAGCCTACATAAATCACCTGAGTCTAAGGCCATTTTATGTACGAATGCTAAGCATTTTTCACACTGTTTTAATAGAAACACAATTTTCCAGGAATGCACTGTGGTGTAACTGAAGAAACACTGTCCACTATTTTGTTCACAATATTCCTAAGAGCTGCACACCACTTCAGAAAAATCGTGTTAGTAATAGCAACGCAGTTTTGTGGTATTTGAGTTGCCAATACAACACACCTGTATCAGCCAGCTTTTGTTATTGTGGAATCTAAGATAACTCCACATACAGGTACCAATGTCTAACTGCGTTTTCTAGTGTAAGCATGCCCAGGCATTTGCATATTTAAATACATACTACCTTATTATTAACTTCTCTATTTCTCATAGTTAGGACTTCATACCAATTTCTTTTGAAACTGTGTGTTAGGTAAGTTAGATTATCTATGAATTCCATTTTAAGATAGTAAGAGATTTCACAGACTATTTGTTCTGAAATGGGGGCAGTGGGTCTGAGACAGCTGAGAAGTACTACCTACTTAAAGTCTAAAGTCTAAAAATCTTCCCCAACTTGATTCCTGTCCAGGGCTTATTCTTAAATCTCGCCACCATATTCTGGATAGATCACAGCCAGCACATCGCACTGGGAGTGAGGACAACTGGACCCCAACCCTGGCTCTGCCTCTTTATTTTGGCGTGTAGGCAGGTCATCTTACCTCTGTCTCTGTTCCCTTCTGTAAAGTAAGGTTAGATCAGACAAGCTGTTCCCAGCCTTTTCAACCACTTATTATTATTCTCCACATTCCCACTGAGACCCAATATTTCTGAAGGCTTTGCCTAACAGACTCACCAATTATTACCTGTAATAACTGATTTCTCATTTAACTAATCAAAAGTATGTAACTGCATACCAGAATAAAGTAACAATGGCAGCTAACATTTATTGAGGGCTTACTATGTGCCAGGCACTGTTCCCATGAACCTCCTCCCGCCTCCATCTTGCCAACCCCATCATGACTACCATATTGTGAGCGAAGTGCTATCTCAGCTATAGACAGAATCTCCCTGGTGCTTGCGTCCTCCCTCAGAGTAGAATTCCCAGTCCTGAATGCTGCCATCAGAATCTGCACAGACCTTGGCAGTGACACGCTCACACCATGCTGTTTTGGAAAAGCTCTGAAGTTGTCAGAGAGGTCAGGGGACTACACTGCAATGAGATGGGCAAGACACTGGGACTGTAGCCCCTCCAGGAAAGTACAGTGAAACCTGTGAGAGCTGGAGCTTGACGGGACCGCCTTGTTTTTCCAGGTCTTGCAAGTTTTCCACCTTTTGACAGGGTGCAGTTTTACCATTTTCTATCACTTATTTTAGTGGAAAATACTTGAGTTTTCCTTCTCTGACAGGTTTCTGCTTTACACAGGTTCCAGCTTTCACAGGTTTTATTTCTCAGGTTTTACTGTAGTTCTGCATCTTTGTATTTTCCCAAAAAACTTGACCCATGATTCTCTGCACAAAGTGCTCTGGAATGAGTAACAACAAATCACCTGGGCAGCAACCCTAGACTACTGCACAAGCTCCAAAGGTAATGACCCTGGGCAGACTGAGGGGCCCTGTGTGGCATCCAGAAAGGAGGCGGGCATCCTTAAGATGCAAGGTAGTTAGGGTGACTGGCAGCAGCACAAGAATGCACTGCTCCACTTGTCTCCATTTTCTACCTCCATTCACCAGACTCTGACGAATCGGATGAAGACACATGGGGTCCAGTGGCACAATGAAGATGACTGGAATTGCCCTACAGAAGCATGGGTTGCCTGCTGAGGGCTCTATACTCACCAGGGAGGCTGCCGGCTGGTATGTGGGTGGTGAGGGGGAATCCGAAGTGGGTCCACCTCTCTGGCAGTGGCAGGGGGGAACTCCCGGTGAGGACTGCTCACATTGGCCTTGTCCCACAAGTCATGGATAGGTGTGATGATTCCAGACACAATACGAGACCGAAGCTCCTCACTGTTCTTGTAGGTCCTGCAGGAAGTAGACGAGGTGTCAACTGTTTGCAGCTGGCTGGCAACCTTACGTACAGTATTCCGCTGGCGGCGGCCGCCCCGACAGCTCCTGGCGTTGCGCTTGGTCTGTTTGCAAGGGTGGGAACGGGCCGTCCGGCGGACCTGGGTGAGGGGGGCAACAGCCCGGCGTTGTCTCCGAGGTTTGGGCCTAAGCTTCTTAGGCATCTGAATTGCCCCTCCTTGCTTACCACCCCATTAGAAGGAGCTGAGGGTGCAGGGGCATAGGGCCTGGACTGGCTATCCTCTGTATCCATCCCACACCACCCCACCCCGCCCTTAGCCTCATTGTGTGTTCATCACGTGTCATGGGAAGGGTCAAGGAAGGCAGAGACTCCATGGGGTGGGGGTTGGGGGGGCGGATAAACCAGGATTCTGGTCCAGGGAGGCAGGGCTGTGAGCACTCAAGGCCCAGTTCTGTTGATAACTCAGGGGATCTTGGAAGCCTACTCCACCATCTACCCCATCCTGCCAGAACCTTGTTTCTCTGCCTGAGACAAAAGCAGTGAGGGCTTCAGCTGTGTTGAGACAGGCTGAGGTAACAGGGAGTGGGCAGGACTCTAGGTTCCTAAAAAACTGGTGTTTCAAAATCAGCCATATCCTAAGCCATAAACCAAAACTTCACAAATTTAAAAAAATGAAATCATACAGAATATGTTCTCTGATCATATGGAATCAAATTAGAAATCAATAACAAACCCAACAGGTAATCTCTTAACACAGAGAAATTAAACAATATACTTCTAAATAATCCGTGAATCAAAGAGAAAGTCTCAAAATTTTAAAAAAATATATAGAATTGAATGAAAACGAAAAGACAACATATTAAAATATGTGGGATGCAGCTAAAGCAGCACTGAAAGAGAAATCTACAGCACTAACTGCTTACTTCAGAAAAGAGGAAAGATCTCCAATTAATAACCCAAAGTCTGATATCAAGTACCTAGAAAAAGAAGAGCAAATTAAACCCCAAGCAAGCAGAAGTAAGGAAATAATGACGATAAAAAAAAAAACTCAGCACTGTCAAGTCGATTCCAACTCATAGTGATCCAACAGGACAGAGCAGAACTGCCGCACAGTTTCCAAGGAGTGGCTGGTAGACTTGAACTGCTGACCTTTTGATTAGCAGCCAAACGCTTAACCACTTTGCCACCAGGGCTCCATGAAGATAAGACATGAAATTCAAAACAGGAATATAGACAAAATTAAACAAAAAGCCAGGGTTTTAAAAAAAGAAACAGTAAAATTGACAAACCTCTGGCATGACTGTTAAACATAAAAAGAAGACACAAATCACCAGTATCAAGAATGAAACAGGCAATTATTACAACAAATTCTGCAGTCTTTGAAAATATAACAAAGGGAACACTACAAACAACTTTACACTCATAAATTCAACAACTTAGAATAGATCAATTCTTCAAAAACCAAAGATTACCACAATTCAGCCGAAATGAAATAGATAATCTGAATAGTCCTATTAAAGTTACTGAATTCATATTTAAGCACCCAAAAAAAGAAGGCTCCAGGCCCAGAGGGTTTCACTGGACCATTCTACCAAACATTTAAAGAAGAACTGATACCAATTTTACACAGTCACTTCCAGAAAAGAGAAGAGGAGGGAACACTTTTCCAATACACTTTATGGGGCCCGTATTGCCCTGATATCAAAACCAGACAGATAGTACGAAAAAAGAAAAAAAAGAAAACTACAGTCCAGTACCTCTCATGTACTTAAGACACATAATTCCTCAACAAAATATTAGCAAATTGAATCTGACAATGTAGAAAAAGAAGTAGACACCATAACCAAGTGGGATTGATTCTGGATATGCAAAGCTGATCCAATATTCACAAATCAATGTAGTCCACCAAATCTATAAGCTAAAAAGAAAAATCACACACTCCTATCAACTGATGAAGAAAAAGTATTTGACAAAATCCAATACCCATTCATAATAAAAACTCTCAGCTGATGGAACGGAAGGGAATTTCCTCAACTTGATAAACAACATCTACAAACAACCTACAGCTAAAATATACTTAATGATGAAAGACAATGGTTTCCCCCCCAAGATCAGGAATAAGGCAAGAATGTTCTCTCACACCATTCTTACTCAACATAAAACTGGAAGTTCTAGCCACTGCAGTAAAGGCAGGGAGGTAAGGAGGAAGATAATAAATGGAGAAGCATACTATGTTTATGGATTAGAAGACTCAATATAGTAAAGGTATCAATACTCCCTAAGCTGACCTATAGGTTTAACTCAAACCAAAAACTAAACCAAACCCACAGCTGTCGAGTCGATTCCAACTCACAGTGACCCTATAGGAGAGAGAAGAACTGTCCCATAGGGTTTCCAAGGCTGTAAATCTTTCAGAAGCAGATTGCCACATCCTTCTGCCGTGGAGCAGCTGGTAGGTTTGAACCACTGGCCTTTTGGTTAGCAGCTGAGCACTTTAACCACTGCACCACCACATTTCTCCTATCAAAATCTCAACAAGGTTTTTAGAGACAAAGACAAGTTTATTCTAAAATTTATATGGAAAGGCACAGATTCTAGAACAGCTACAACTATCTGGACAAAGAAGAAGAAAGTAGGAGGAGTCACTGTGCTAGATAATAAGGCCTACTATATAGCTGGAGCCCTGGCAGTTAAGACCTCAGCTGCTAACCAAAAGGTCGGCAGTTTGAATCCACCAGCCGCTCCCTGGAAACCCTGTGGGGATAGTTTTACTCTGTCCTATAGGGTCACTGTGAGTCAGAATCGACTGGACGGCAACAGGTTTGGTTTTATTATATAGCTACACACTCAATACAGTGTGATACTGGTGGAGGGACAAACACACAGATCAATGGAACAGCATAAAGAACCCAGAAAATAGACTCACACACGTATGGATAACTCATTTTTGACTAAGTTGCAAAAGCAAGTCAATGAAAGAACAAATGGTGTTGGAGCAACTGGATATCCACGTTGTTGTTGTTGTTAAGTACCGTCGATTTGGTTTCAACTCATAGCTACCCTATGTGCAACAGAACAAAAAAAATTTTTTTGAATCTCAACCTAAACCTCATACCTTATATAAAAATTAATAACACATTACAGCCTTAAGTGTAAACCATAATACTATAAAACATTTGAAGAAAAAAAAAAAAATAAAAGAAGAAGAAAATCTTTGGGATCTAGGGATAGGCAAAGACACCAAAAGCATTACCTATAAAAACAAAAATAGATAAACTTTTGCTTTGCAAGAAATTCTGTTAAGAGAATGAGAAGACAAGAGGTGGGGCCAAGATGGTGGAGGAGTCAGATGCTTCCAGTGGACCCTCTTACAACAAAGACCCAAAAAAACAAGTGATTTGATTATATATGGCAATCTGGGAGCCCTGAACATCAAAGGCAGAGTTGAGGAACCGGACTAAGTGGCAGGGGGAGAGAGAGACAGTTCAGAAGCCGCAAGGAGTTGCCAGACCCGACCCAGTGAGAACCTGAGCCCTTCAGGCCTGATCAGCTCAGTGGTGAGCAGTGAGACAGGCAAGCAGCAGTGCTCAGAGGCATGTTTTTCGTACCGGGAGAGACCCAGCACCAGAGAGTCTACACAGCCACCAAGAACAAGTGAGAAGCAGCCTTTCACGAAAGATAAGTACTTGCATACGGCCTACCGCGTAGATCAAAAACACCACTCTTAGGGAAAAACCTCTCTCCCATTTACCTCCCCGCTCCCTGCTCTGCACTGGGTCCTGGACCGGCTTCAGCAACTGCCGAGTCCCCTGGGCTGGAAGTAGGATCTGTCACATGCCCAGAGCCATTCTCCCTGCCTTCAAGAGTGAACCAATTAACAAACGGGAAAAAATAAACTGCCCGCTCCCCTAAGCCAGGAATCCAGGGTAGGCACAGCTCCTTTGCCTAGGCACAGGCATAAGGGATCCATGGACTTTGAGTGCCTCTCCCCTTGCATAGACTTCTGTGGGCCTATCTCAACAGCGTAGGCCCTCTTTTACCGCAGTATAACAGGGTATATACAAGAACTCTAACTTCAACTGTTTCAGCTATGAAGTGGCAAGTTCTTGACATCTGACACTGCTCTGCCCATTAAGCAGGGTCTTCACCTACCTACATCAGGGGCCGGACAACCGGTGGCTCCACTCACACCACCTAGCCACCTGTGAGAGGGGCCCATAAATAAGAGGTGCCCCCCAGTCCTTACAGCCAACAGCATTAGGTGCTCACAGCCTGGCTGCAAAACCCACCCACCTACATGCTCTAGGGAACAAGGACACACCTTCCTCCTGGATACTCGGAAGCAGCGGTCAGCCCCCTGTCTTGCTTGGAGTGTCTCCCTATTGCAGCCAGATGCCTATGCCTACACCAATCCTCCATGCCTGTCTAGTACTGTAGGTGACAGCCTACATCACACACTTGGTGGCTATCTACCCCGGCACCTGAGCTGAATCCACAGAAAAGGAGTGTGTGGACTCCTAAGCTCACATACCTAGTAACAAATCTAACCACCTGGTGACAGGACATTAGAGCTTCAAAGGTGCCAATAATCAAACTAGCTCATACAAGCAGCATTTTTCGGCATATCAAAACAACACAACAAGTGAGGACATAGTAAACAAACATAAAATAAATAAATATAATAACTTATTGAAGGCTCAGAGACAAAAGTCAATATCAAATCACATAAAGAGGCAATCCATGATGGCTTCAGCAAGCTCCCAAAGTAAAGAATCTAGAAATTTTCCAGAGGAGGAAAATTTCTTGGAATTATCAAAGGCAGAATACAAAAGATTAATATACAGAATTCTTTAAGAAATTAGAAAGGAAATTAAGCAAAACGCAGAACACGCAATACAGGAAATTAAAAAGATTAGAGAAGAGCATAATGACAAATTTAACAGGCTGCAAAAATCCATAGAGAGACAGCAATCAGAAATCCACAAGATTAACAATA